ACAAGTGGACAGGGCGGCGCCGTCGGGCTGCCAAGCTTGAGTCAAAAGGCGCCTTTCACTTAGAGACTTTTAAGGAGTCGGGCATCCAGCTGGCTTCTTATGAGATTGACCTCCACACCACATGTTTTTCTGGCCGCTAAGTGTTCTTCCAGGGACAGTACACTACAGATGCGTATGGATGTTCGCAAGTTGGCAAAGGCTTGTAGGTGCGGGGGCGCGGTGCGCGCATGCACGCGTGCTTGCTACATGGGAACCCGTGCAGCAGTGTAACCAAAAGCATGCGTCCAAAGACTCGATGGTCCAATGTAGTTCAAATGCAAGCACAAACTGAGACTGCTGTAAGCTGTCAGGAAAACGTTTCTAAGTTTCAATTCGCTCTGCAGGCGCACCTTTTCGTCCAGGCGGCAGCTGCTCGGCTCAGTCTTTGCTGCTCTCGAGTTGACACTTGGCAGCCTTGGCCATATCCTTCTTTTTGACCTTCCTCTTCTTTTCGCGCTTGCTCTTTGCCTTGCGCGCTCGAGCTGCTTTCTCAGTGACTTTCCGGAGCTGTTCCTCCAGGACCCGGACGCGCTCGGCGTCGCCCGTAGCAGACAAAGAAAGCCGCCGAAGGTGCATGTTCGGAGGCTGCAGCAGCGGCGGACCGGCGCCGTTCGAATTGCTGGCGGAGAAGGTTGGGGGCAGCAGGGCTCTCATCCAGTGGCCACGGGCGCAAAAGTCCACGGACCCGACGGAGTTGTGGTTTGGATGTCTATCTCAACAGCGTCGTCCGGCCCAGTGGCGGGCGATGTATCCGGATCTTCCGGATCATCCACCCATCCGTGCACTCAGAGATGTTTTCCCAGCCGGACATGGCTCGAAAATGAATGCCGCAAGGCCGTGAATGAAAGCTGACATATGTGGTGTGCGCTACAGTATGGTGGCATAGTGCAGTGTGGCCGTTGTTTTGACCATGGGACCGCACCCAATGCAATCACCGAGGCTTGAACACGGAAACCGCCGGCGGCATATAGAGCAGTTCGGACGACAGGAGTCACGACAGAAGCGCTCGTTTGCAGAAGGCTTGAAAGGCATTCAAACATAAAAGGCCTTGATGGCTTATGTAGGTATGAGGTATATATCAAGCGTAACACGTGTAGCGTGGCATGTATGGATAAGACCACCCTAGTCAGGACATCAGCACGTGTATGCATTGCAGTGAGTCTTCCAGGCGACGTCGTTCGCGCGCGTCATCTTGCTAGCAGTGGGCGCCGGTCTGCAGCTGGCCAGCAAGCGCCTTGCAGCCGCCCCGTGGGGTGGCACGCAAGCCGCTTGTAGCCGGCCGTCGACGGGCACGCCAATCTCACACGAAAAGCCTTGTCTCGGCGATCTGACGGGCTCAGATGAAGAGAGGCCTTGCAGTTCAAAACCAGCTGCACACTTCTTTCGTGGGATGGTGGGAAGAAGGAGACACGAGCGACGTGGGAAGAAGGAGACATGAACGAGGCCCCGTGCGAGGCCCGAAGACCGTGAACCGGGAAAAGAACTGACCAGAAACAGCCACAGACCCAGCAGCAGGTAGCAGCAGCAGCAGCAGCAGCAACAACAACAACAACAACAACGGCAACGGCAACGGCAACGACAACAACAGTACACTGCCTTCCAAGTAGGCGTCGAGGGAGGAGTCTCCACGGCAATGCGGTGCTGCGTTGCCGTGCCACAAGTCTGAAGCGCTGTTGCAGCTCATTTGATTGTTTCTGCACACCTCTGAAGCATCTTCCCCCCACATCAATGCGTGTGGCAGCGACTTCTTCGTAATACGCAATCCCCCATGGGATTATGGTAGTCACATATGATCGGCTGTGACTTCAACATGTGGGAGTGCTATGTGGAGCTCGCAGTCAGAATATAGTTACAAAGCCTGGAAAGAATCTGTACCAAAAAGCAGTTAGAATATGTGTGGGTCTGTGCCTGTCACTTGCTGGAGCATCGTGCTCACATGTGGTGACAGTCTTAACCTGCGGAACTTCTGCACTTCTCTTCCTGTAGTCTTACTTGTTCTCTGGGAGGCACGGTGTCTTTTGGACGGGCAATTAGAATATGTTTCCAGGGATGCCTCACTGCAGTAGGGTCGTCGACCTCATGTTGTTACTAGGTCGCAGTCGTCATTGTGGGCATAGTATCAATTTCACGGCTGCAGAAAGCTACCACCAAGTTACCATCACTTAGATCTTGGCGCAACATGGGTTTTTCACGGTTGTTATGCAGCTGTCTCCAACTGAAGTTGTTTTTGCGTTGAAGTGTGTGTTAGGGGCACCAAATTTAGGCGCAGGC